TTTTCTCTCTTCATAACTTCACAACACCCTTGCAGTCCTCCTGAGCTGCCTGCCACTTCTTCCAAAGGCCATAAACTTTATTTCTTTCTTTGAGTTCTAGCCAAACCTCTTTGTTTAGCCAGACCAGTCTGCTTTCCCACCACTTTGTCTTTTGACATATGGGGAGAGCCTGCTCCTGTGCCTTAAGATTTCTTTCTTGAAGACTATCCAGCCTTCCTGGATTTCCTGGACTCCTTTGCCCCTCAGGACTGCCTTCCAAGGGACTGTCTCCACCAGTCTCCTGAACAGGTTGAGGACTGACCCTCTGGAAGTCCCAGGTAGTAGTCCTGCAGGCCTCCTTCCTTCTCCAAGAATAAAAAGCTCTTATCATTTTGTGATCTCTATGTGCAAGACAGCCTCCAGCCATCACATCACCATCAAGTCCTTCTCTGTTCACAAACAGCAGAAGCAGTGCCAGTGGGGAGACTTCCCTAATTGGCTCCCTCACCATCTGTGTCCACACAGTCCAGGAGCCTCCTGGACTGTTTCCTCTCTACTGTGTTGTTTTTCCAGCAGACATCAGGTAATTTGAAGTCCCCTATGAGAACAATAAGGAATTATGAGTCATCTCACTGATTTTTGTAGACTAGTTCATCTGCCTTTGCATCCTGGTTGGGTGGCCTATAACAGACTCCATCAGGATGTCTGCCTTGGCCTTTCCCCTGATTCCTAGCCCCAAACACTCAACCCTGTCATCACCTTCATCGAGCTCTAGAAAGTCAAAAAGCACCATAAAATACAGGGCTATCCCAGTTTTTTTCTGGATGTAATCTCCAGTTGCCATATGAGAATGCTATTGGTTTCCTATGAACCCTGTCCCATATCTGTTTGAAAGTTTTGCACACCCTAGGAAACTGAAGAGCACTTCAGATCATACTGAGGTCAACACATAGTGGGTGACCAGCTGAAGTTGCCACTTGGGCTCTGTTAATTCAGCATCACCCATGCAGGCACCTACACTGTGCTTTGCCCATTGAACAGTCCTTTCTACTTGATTACAGGAGAAAATGATAATTCAGCAAATGGTTCAAATCTTGTAAGCGACACTTAGAGGCAGTTGGCTATAAGCAGGTGATGTTGCTGTTTCCTTTGAGGTGTTTCTGCTGTGGTGCACAGTTAACTTTTGTCCTCGGTAACTTTTCCACACTAGCAGACACTGCTGCACCATTAACTTGAATTTCTGATACGTGTTCTCCTTTCTCCCAGCAGATCCTCTCTCAATTAGAAAATTAGCCAAAACTGTAATCATTAATTTGTTAAAACATGAACTTTGAGTTGTCATTTTGTTTTCTGAAGTGACATAGCTTTAGGTATTGAACAGAATTTTCTGGGTAACTATAGCTGGTGAGATTTTATGCTGTGTGTAACTGATTACTTTGAGGGTAAATTTCAGATGAATTCTGTCAACAATGATAAATTGCTTATTGTTTGTTGCAGTCTACCAATCAAGCTAAGGTAATACAGCTACAGCATGCTCCAATTTTTTAAGAATACCACTGGAGGCTTTTGCAGATTATTTTAAATTGTGACCAAGTCCTGTCAGGATAAATTCTAATTATTTTTTTTCCAAATTAGTTAAATAAAAGCAAAATCTATGAAGAATCTAAACCACCAGAATATTTAAATATGTGAATTTTGTGTTCTTGTAGTTAATCAGCTAGAGATGCATTTAAATTATATATTTGTTTTCTTCATTTTCTGATTACTTAGAATATAATCTTCAAAAACTTGTCTGAATTGAATATATAAACAGTTTGCAGAAATACCATTTAAATGTGTGCTTTTTTCAGTTGGGTTTCACATGATTAACTTTGCAAACTTTTAGACATTATTATCACTTTAGCTATTCTGTTTTATAGGAAAAATGCTCTGTCTTAAAGGTAATGTTATCTTTTACCTTAATTTGTAAACTTCAAAGTCATAACATTCTTACAGCGTATGTACGTATATTGTTTTTTTAATGTAATATATTTAAGGAGTAAGAGCAGGGCATCAAAGAAGTACTCAGGTCAGCTAAACATGGTATTTGTTTACCCTTCAGAAAATAAATTAAAAGCATTTTATGGCTATTTAAGGATATTTATAGGAATAAATTGTAGGATTGCCCTGTTTCAGCAGTCTCTGTTACCTTCAGATCTCTCATGAATCAGAGGTCAGTCAGAAGTCATGCTAAATGAGTTTTTTAAAGGCATTTGTTTTCTTAACAAGCAATAGAAAGCCTTTCTTCTCAGTTTGCTTCTTGATTATCAATGTTCTCACATATTTATTTGTTCATTTCTTCCCTTTCTGATAAGCATCTTTGGTAAGTATGAGATAATGTTTCAAGTTTGTGTTGTTAAAACACATTTCATCAAGTGGTGCAGTGCAGGTTGATAGGACTGACCATTTCTGTTTCTTCGCAATGGACAGTCATTTGTGGGAACTAGCAAATTTCAGAATTTCTATGAATTTGTAGCCCTGTAGAATTACAAAAAAGTTACAGCCTATATAATTTGTAGTCCTAGATTTTTATTGCTTTAGAGAAGGTTCTCTCTTCCTGCTATTGTACAGAAATTTTACTTCAGACACTTTTCAGTGGTAGAAATATTTGGTCAGAAAGCACTCTTAAGATGGTAGATGGTGTTCATTGGGCTTTGGTTATTTGCTGTTTCTGTTCATAGCTTTGTCACCACTTCTCATGGATTTTAACAACTTAGACTCACTAGGGCATTACAGCATCATACCGGAAGTGAAATTTTAGTCAATTATTTTTCCAGGTTTAGAATTCTGCTGTAGGTATAACCTCAGAGTACTGTCACAGAGAGCAGTGGGTCAATAAAGAGCGCTGAGTCTTGAGTGTATGTCAGTCACGTGTCACTAAATGTAGCACATGTAACTGATCTAAGGATTTTCTGCTTGCTGTGATTGACAGATAGCCCTGAGTTTTTTTTTATATGACAATTTCTGAAAAATTACACCTTCTGCAGAGAAAGTACAGAAATACTGAAAAAAATATTAAAAGTGGTATGCCTTGAAAGACCATAAGCTAAAATAAAATGAGAAATTGTATCTTTGCTAATCTTTTATTCACTGATTATTGCTTCCTTTTCTACTTTCATTCTGGTTTTATATTTATTACTGTTACAATTTAGAGACAGCAAATTGTAACTGAAAGTAGTACTAAAATTGAGAGGACAACGTGCATAAAACCATAGGTGTATTGAACATGGTAGAAAGAATGCAAGAAACACGGAAGTGATGTAAGCAGAAAAGCTGATTATTTTATAGTAATTTATTTCCTTGATAATGCATGTATCTTTGAATAATTTTTGTTTTGCATTGCTTTGGGTAAAGAACAGAGGATGCTTCAGCTATGCAAACCACAAAACATTGACCTTCCTTTTCCAAACTTTATAGAACGTCAGTTGTTGTTGCTTTTTATTGCTGCAAGGTTGGCCTCTTGCTACCAAACTCTGTTATTATCCTGCGTCTGTATGATTTCCATCCACACATTCCAACATACGTATGTTGTGGATCCTGCCTATTGAATCCAGCATTTTAAATCAATTTTAAACCAAACCTCTGCTGAAAAGAGAGGAAATATTACGTGTAGCCATGGTTTCTGTGATAAAGGCATTTGCTGTTTCTCAGTCTCTTCATCTGAGGGCATAAACCAGCAAAGGTTCACAAATCTTACGAGTTCCCTGTATATCAGGGACATGGCACTTGGTCATTTGTTGGAATAGGGATAAACTGGGTCCTTACTAAATATTCTGAATAAATGCCCAGATCAGAAAATTAGTTATCTAGGCTCTGGGGCTGACTTTAAATGCCAAGTTGATTTCTTTTTTAAGCCCTATTTCAAACAGTTTTCTGTAGCATTTCTTCAGATTTTTTTTAATCAGTAAACCTTCTGAAATAAATTAAAACCTTGAATTTACTCCAAGGCTACTTGTTATATTTAATAAATTGAATGTCCTTAGAACAAGGAAAGGGAAAATTTTGACCAAAACATACATCCAGCCCTCTTTGTACTGATAAAAACATCTTGATGTCCTATTTATAAAGTACAGTATTCAGGATACTACTTTTTCTTAATGTCTTGTTTGTTGGTTTTTGCTGTAATTTGCATATTGCAGTTTTTTATTAAGTGAAGCATATTAAATACTTTAACATTATGCAATTAAAATATTTTCCTCGCATGTGTATTCTGGTAACGCAAATGCCCTGTGGTATATGAAAGTCTGTTAATTTTAAGGAAAAACAAATTGTTACTTCTTTTCTTTATGTTTTTGCTATAAATAAATCTCTGATACCAGAACCAAGGATGAGATAACCAGGGAACAGATTTAACCGTATTTTGAATAAGGATAGAAGGACATGTTTTCAGTGTGACATAAAAACTCATCTGCTATTTTAAGGGTGGGGCTTTTGTATTTAATTCTTGTACAGATCTTACTTTTACCTCTTAATTATTTTGTTTCCTCTCTTGAAACTGAGTACAGGGACAGTATACTGATAATGAAAGACTCTCAGGTCTCACACAATCTCTTTACATTTACTATCCCTGTCCATGTGATCTGCAGCAGTTTTGAAATACTTGTTTCTGAGTCTTTTTGCTCAGTTTAATGTTCCCCTCCCGTGGTCTAAAGGAAAGAACCATGATAACTGAACATTGCATAAATATTTTCAATGTAAGAATTTTTATTTGTGTTTAAAATGGTTCTGTTTCCTGTTTTCCTTTGTTCTCATAGAATAGACACTGTTTTAAACCAAGGATCAGTAGAGTCAGAACTCTTAGGAGCCTACATTTTTTCCATTTCTAGTTTAGCCTTAGTTTTGCATCCCATATTCAACAGAAATATTTGGTTGTTCTAATTATTGCACAAAATGAAGCATTTAAAGCCTTCTAAAGGTAGCAATAGCAGTTCTACTTTTCATTGATTTCTGTGTTATAGTTTTTAAATTATTTTCCTTTCCAGGTTCCTTACAGCCTTTCCTGGAAGCCTGCAGTAATGAATCCTTCTTCCGGACTTGCTCTGTGTTGCTTCGAAGTTCTAAGCTAGATGTTGCAGTTTTGGAAAAGCTCTGTGTTATACTGCAAAAACTCTCTAGAATAAAGTAATTCTTTTTTACTATTATTCTGTTAGCTTCTATTAGCTTACCTTTGTATTTTTTCTTTTTCAAAAACTCATCTCTGTTTCTCTGTTTATTCCCTCCACCATATAAAATGCTGGACTTTTAATGTTAGCAGTTAAACTGTTTCTGTCATGGAGGTTTAAGACAAGTCTCTCAGTTAGTGCATAAATCTAGTTCAATTTGCAGAGTACAAACTAGAAAAAAGTCTCACAATGTAGACCTAAAGAGGAATTAGTCCTTATGTCTGCAGGTGACAAAAATGCTTAGAATTCTTAGAAGAGAATCCTATACTTTCAGTTTTACTCAGATACGTAGTAGTATCTGAGTAGTAAGCTCCTTTAGAAATTTAGTTTTATATTTGACTTGCATTCAAGCTTCATCAGTTTTCATTCCCTTCAAAAAATAAATTTAAGATTTTGAGCCACTTAAGCCCTTTTGGGAATGTTCATCTTTTTAAACTGTGTTCCCATTGCTTACAGATTATTGGTTTACTGTAACAAAGGTCATCATATCAATAGTAATGTGCTGCTATGCTTCACTCTTGCTCAGTGGGGTTGTTTCATTTATGTAAGGGGTATCTCAACTGAGTAATTTTTTATATTGGACTTAAAGCTGTTGACAAAACTGAGGTTTTAATTTCTTATAAGGAATAAAATTGAACTCTAGAAAAAAAAGTTTTCCTATAAAATAATCTAATATAAATTATAACTGGAATTTACTAGTCAAAGTAAAATTGGCTCATAAATCCTATTTTTTAAAATTTTTTTAAAATCTCTGAAACCTTATTTTGCATAAGTGAAAAGCGCTGTTATAACCTTTCCTCCAGCTTTCATTATGCTATGTGTACATATCACTTACTCCAAAATTATTATTTTTGTTAATTTTTGCCAAATTTTTCTCACCATGCATTGTTAACCTTATGCTTAGAAGCATACATAGAAGAATTATATGAGATACTCAAAATAATGCACATTTTACTTCATTTAAAATATTTTTTCTGTAGCATCTTTAGTGTTTATATGAAAACTCTTAAATTTCAATTGACAATTACAATTATTTTATTCAAAATCTTTTGCAGAAGCAATAAGAAGATGTTTGCATTGTTTGGTCTTCATCAAATGTTCCAGGAACTGCGTAGAACTATAGATCCAAATCACACCTTCCTCTGCATAAACCTCAATTCAATTCTGCTGAACTTGGAATTGTTGAGGAGTACCTGTCTTGCCCCAGTCTAAGCACAAGTCACTAGCACTAGCTTTCAATCTAATTATTGTTCTGTATAATTTATACCAACTGCTTATGTTACTTGAAATTTTGAGTTTTGGGTTTTTTTTTTACTGATTTGTATAAATATATTACATAGCACCTCAGTACTCTGCAATTCACTGTGTATTGTGTGGATTTTCACTTATATTTCACTCATTTATAAAAAGGAAAATGAAAATATACTAGATAATATACTAGGCAGCTTTCTTCAATATTTTCTAAGGAAGTGAAATAATGTTGCTGTTGTGAATGACTAGTGCAATGTAAGCAGACCAGAAATACCAATCCTTCCTTACAGGTATGAATGTTTTAACTCTTCAGAGAGCTTTATGAATTCTTTAATTTATTTTATGGTTGATAAGTAGCAGATAGATATCTTAGCAGATTATTTTTTGATAATCCTGCAGTTTTAATGATTAAAACCAGATTTTAATTTAACATAACTAGATGCATTGAATGAGAAATTTTGTTGGTTTGATTTCAGAATTTCTTAAGAATTTGTTTGATCTTTTCCTGTAGTTAAGTAGCATTTAGTATTTTATCCTGCTTTGTATAGTGCAACTTTGGATGGTAATATCTTTGCAAATGTAAATAAAGGCATTTCTTAAAATGTCCTGCAATAGTAATCCGTAACATAAAATTATTGTATTTTATTGCTTCTGCTGTATTTTTTATTAATTTCCATACAATCTTCACAGTACTCACATTTTTTTCTGACTATGAATATGTTTTTTGTCTGCCACAGTTCAGTGTTTAGGAATTCTTAGAAATTGAAAAAAAGATGCTTCTAAAAATTGAAATTAGTTATCCATCACTGATTTGTACTGTAATTACTGAAAATCTATATTAGTAAAATTGACAATGCAGTTAAAGCTTAAAGATCTGCTGTATTACAGTCTTTGACTAACACTTAATCAGTATAAAACTTCAGAGAATTTTTATTTCTCATTTTTTGCCTTTTTTGTTTCTTTTTGGTTTGGTGTTTTTTGGTTGGTTGTTTGTGGGTTTCTTGTTGCTTTTTTGTTTGTTCGCTTGTGGTTTTGTTTATTTTGTTTCTTGTTTATTTGTTTGCTTTTTTTGGGGGGAGGGTGTTTACCAGAAGTCTTTGAACTGGTCTTAAAGATTGAATTTTAACTGCAAATATTTTTCTAGCAATTTGACTTAACATTTCTTACAAGCTTTTCTATGAAAAGAATCTACACCCAATTTGGCACCAAGTATGTCTAGAAGAGAGAGAGCAAGCACTGTGCACTCACTGGGCAGGAAAACAATTCTAGGTAATTTTTTATAACAGTAATCACAGCTAAAAACATTTTCTGACAGTCAATTACATTTTGAAATAAGTATTTCTTCATCAGTAGTTTTGGGTTTCTGTCAAATTTACCAGCAATGCAAAAGCTTGCATATACCTTTGGCTGGAGACAAAATCCCATTATTTAGGAAGAGTATCCAGTCCTCATCTGCTTCTCCCTCTATTACCATTTAAAAATACAACAAAATCAATAACCAAACTGTAGAAAGTTGCTTTCTTTCTAATCTCCACAAGAATGTTGATTGTGCTCTTAGTTTTCAGCCTTCATTGCTGTAGTTTTTTAATCTACTAATCTTCCTTGACATCCCAATGTAACACAGTGTGGTCATCTAATAATGGCAAAGGTAATGCATTTAAAAGAGACACATAGAGTGCAGTGTAGCTTTTAAAATTGGTCCCTTGTAGCTTATATACAGTGTTGTTTAGACTCTGGAAAGTTGAATCACAGCTAATTTCAAGTTTTTGGAGCTAAATGTTAGGTTTCTGTTAAGACGTAAAATAAAAGGGTTTTCCAATCTGTTAAATATTGATGCACTGTATTGATGACCTAAGGATTAGATTAATTTTTTTGATATTACACAAATTTTTCAAGGCCAGGTTAGATGGGGCATTGAGACATCTGGTCTAGTGAGAGGTGTCCCTGCCTTGAACATCTGCCCTTTGAGCCAGCCCACCCCAGTTGTCCACACCAGCCCTTTTCATGGCCTTGCTCAAACATCCTCATCCTGTTACCATTCCCCTGAATGACCTTGGCAGTCTCTGTGGGCAAGGGGGATAGAGGAAGCCAGTTACATTCTTTCCTGCCATTTGTGGATTTGTTTTGGCTTTTGGAAATGATAGATTTCTGTCAAGTTGGCCACATTTTGGGTATTTCTTTGTATTGTCTTTCCCTTGCAGATGGAATCTAGCATTTTCTGGGTGTTTTTCTGCTTTTCTGGCATTTAGATACTGTGAGTATCAAAATGTCTTCTACTTCACCTTTCTTCCAGAAATCTCTCTGCAAGAAGAAACATTTGAAAAAGTTAACTGTACCTTTAGCTATTTTCTGCAACTCCTTGTTCCTTAAGGAAACATGGTGTGTGTGAACTCAGTTTTCTGGTTTCCTGCAGAGGAATATGCTATTTTAGATATGCCAAACACCTCTGTCAAGAGGTAAATTATTATTCATCCAGAGAATATAATTTTTAAACCATTTTTTGGTGAGAGAATTTGAGGGGAAGTGAGCGACATATGACCACTTGCCCTTAAAAGAAAGGCAAGGACTCTTCACACTTTCTGTGAGCTGATCAGTCAAAACACAGAGCTTCAAACTGGCTACAGTCTGCCTTGTCTAGCTTGTGTGCAGATCTCCAGAAGTGATCAACTACCATCAGTGGCATGAAACAAAATTGCTTGTAGTCACAACCTACTACTTTAAGGAAAGATAAAGAATTAACACACAGGACAGAATTCTGTCTTGCTGGTTTTTTTGAAAAGCTGTGAAAGTCCTCTTGTTGAAAAGAAAGTCAACAAGAATATTGCATCTCCTCATATTGAGACAGTTTTTGTACCAGAAAAGACTACCTAATTTCCCTTTTTTTTCTTACAAGCCCATCTACTGTAGAATTGTAATCACCCTTGCTGTTTATCAAAGGTTTCTTATTGATCAGTCTTTCAGACCTCATCTACAAAGCCTGGATTTAGCAAATCTGTAAGAAAGATTGTTCCCTGGGCAGAAGACAGTTGTATTTGGAGAAGCTTGGCACAGCTAAAGTAGGCTACCATTACCCAACCTGCACAGTTGTGCTCTCTCTCTTCATATTTGTGACTTTTACCAGCTGATAAAAGGTCTGAAAGTGGAATTTCACAGTTTTCTTCCCATTCTCCTGAGCATGACTGGCTTGCATCTCTTTCAAATGTTATATAGATGAATTTGATATATGTAATAGAGAAAGGTTTCTTGTAGCAGGTAAATTTACATGGAAGGTGAAGGTATGCCGAAGGCAACATATTTAGAAGAACTTCTATTCATGATCAGCATCAATGTCTAAAATACATGATTTAACTTACCAGACCAGATTTAAAAGGAGCTGTAAGTAGAGCTCATAATTTAGAGCTGTTACACTGGATCCTTTAATTATATACTGAATTTTTCACCTAAAACTTACATGGCTTTGGAGATTGATTATCTGATAAAAAGCATTTATCTTCAGGATAATGTATTTAAATGTAGTAGAGAAAGTTGGAAATTTTGATCTATGAAACAATTTGGTAGTCTTCCACTTTCCAGATGGTTAAAGGGACTACAGTGGCAGAGCTGTGACCCCTTGTGTTCCTCTGAATGATGTAATGCTCACATGTTTTTAAAACTCACAGAAATTACTGTGAAATTAGTAGTGCTGTGGAGCATTGAGATCCTGCCTTTTACACACCTCTGAAGTACAGTGATGGGCAAAGGCACCTTTATGTGTTATACTGACTCTTTGGAGTGTGTTGTGTCAAATACAACCGCTATCCATCTTGTCTTTTGGGCTGATGAAACCCTTGAATGCCATCTTCTGACAATGGTTAGGAATATCCTTGTTTTTTAGACTTTGTTTTTTACCTAAGTTTGAAAGCAAGTGTATCTGTGACTACCTTATTACTGCTAGAAGAGATAACTTTGAACAAAATCACTTTCTGTTTACTTGCTTGTAGGTGTTTTTTTTTTTGAATGTCCCAGAGTTGAAATTACATGATGTAACAAGACGTTCCGATCTCTCAAGTCAAAATGAGAAAATTAACTGAGGAAAAGAGATCTGAGAAGCCATATATATTTTTTTCCCCAGAAACCAGTTCTCTTTGTGCCCATTACTCAAGCATATTTGGAACTGCACCCAAGGATTATTTTTCTGAATATAACGCATCTCTCAGATCACTGCAGCTTAATGGTAAGTAATTGCTCTGATAAGTGTACTCAAGCTAGGGCTGCAAATTCAGTGCCCAGGATAGAGCTAACAGTAGTTGAAAGTTCAGCACAAAAAAACCCCATTCCTACTAATAAGTTTACTTTAAGATCATCCTCAGGTCCATAAAATGGCATCCTTAATACAGTTAATTATGGAGAAAAGTAAGTAAAAATAATCTATCCAGCCTCAGGGGGAAAAAAAGTATACGGTAGAGTTTCAAACAGGAGTATAATATCCCACCCACACATCAGCTTTTTGGAAAAGTAGTAGGCTTCTGAAGAAGGTTGGAGATAACTAGTGTTGCCAGACTGTTTTTTTGCTTCAGAAGAAGCAATATTCTAGTGTAGAATCAAGAGTTATTTATAAATATAAATAACAAATAAATGCAAACATATATGCATAATAAATGCAAAATAACATATAAATGCAATTAAACATAATTTCTCAATTCATGATCTTTTAAAGCCACAAAGTAGCAGTTGAATGGCTGCTTGATTTGTCCTCTTTCCCACTGAGGTGTGAGGAAATGTGAAGGGGATTTTTTTTCACAGCAGTCTTGTATACCAAGGCTAAATTTCAGAATTTCAGAAGCAGATGCTGAACTTTGTTTCCTTCCTGAGTCAGTTGTCTTTCTATTAATCAGTCTTCAGCACTACCTCCTCCTGATATTTTGTTTACTTCTATGTAGTAGATTAAATTGGAAAATAATTCCTGAATTGTCTTGCTATATTAACTTGAATCCTAATATAAGCTTGTTTTTATAGCAGCCACAATTATATATATAAAAATAAAATCTCTTTTTTTATTAAAGCAGATGGACAAATGAGATGCCTCTGTGTGCCCTGTGTAACAGCTATTCACTGTCTTTTGCAGCCATGCATACAAAGGCTTCTTACCATTCTTCCCTAAGTATTCAGACAGTCTAGTTTCACAGAACAGTGGGAAAAAGGAATCAACATTTTTCTGTCCTTGAAGAGTAGTTGATAGTGATAAATTAATACCTGAGGTAACACATGCTGTGCATTATAAATCATATCACAATAAATAATCAAAAGAGCTTATTTGGATGCAGGGATAGAATATATATGCAATATTATGCATCTAGAACTAGATATAGCCTGAGACAGTCCATTCTTGCCCTGTTTATATTAATATATTTAGTGAAATGTGCACTGGGAAGCCTATCCCATACATAATGAGGGCATGGGCTCAATTTTCTTTTCATTATCAAGACAAGTATAGAGCATGCTTGCAGAAGAGTGGCTCCTGCATACAGGAGTATCCTGTTGTACCTCTGGGTCATTATTTTCAACAACAACTTTACTGCAACAGTAAGAATTTTTCTCTTATTTACACCTTCCTTAAAACAAAGCAGGACTGCTGAACTGCCTAAAGCCTAGAGTTTGACAGGGAGAAATGGAACTGGAGTGCCTTTTCAGCTCATCCTCCAACCCATAATGCTGGGAATTTATGCACATTATTATTTGTTCACGAATAATGTGGATATTATTAATTATCCCAAATTATAGAATACAGAGGCATTCCACTCTTGTTGCTTTATACTGCAAAGCTGGCACCTACCCTTTTCAGCCCAGCTTACCTCTCTTTATTTATCTCATCAGTCCAGGACCATCAGATACTGAACACTATATAGAGGACCATCCCTGATCACAACCTGAAATCCAAGGAAGTCTGCTAAGTCCAGCAAGTTTCTCTAAGGAGAAAACTGGGACAATATTGGTTAGGCTCGGAAGCTGGGATTAGGTGAGGAAAGTCTTACAAGATAGTGAGTAGTTTGGTCTGAGGGCAATCCAAGTTGGTGCTCTGGGTTTTTTTTACAGAAGCTAGCAGTTCTTCTGGTGGTCCCACCTGTGCAGCCTAAGACTACCTGAACACAGTTATCCTGTCATGAAGTGAAAGCTTCCATTTAAGATTTCTGGTAGTGTTGTGAAGTACTGCTAATTTAGAAATGCAGAATGAAGACATACTAATGAGAGTACTGTTACCGTGACATTACTCACCAGTCTCACAGTCTGCAAAGTTCTCAGTGCACAGATAAAAACTTACAGATTCTCTGCGGAATTGCAAGGGGATTGGCATTTTCACATTACCTTCAAGGTGAAATACCTTGACAAAATGGTTTCTGCTTCAAGTTTCCTAAGTGATGCAGAGAAACAGTATCCTACAGGAATGCACAGATTGCTCCATATATATTACCAGGATACTCCCATACCACAGGAATGTGCCTACCAGCCCTTGGCTAACCTATTTATTTACAGATTTATAGGGCAATTTGCTATTTAATCAAAGAAATGGCTAATACAACTATGTTTGACCTCTTTCTTTTATTAGCATATTTTATGTTCATATTTTACAATATAATAAGTTATATATACAGCATTAAACAAAGTTATTAGAAAGTAAGCTTTGGCAAGACCTACAGGATTCTTTTTTCGATCCCATATGTCTTTTGTATAACAATAAAAATACTGTATACTAAATAAAATAATGTTAAATAGTCTGTGTTCTCATTGGCACCATCAGTTTCAAAACTTTAACTTTTCATGGCCCAATAAACATAAAAAGAAGAAGATTCCTGTATCTTCTTTATCTTCTTTTTAACAAATATGTGATGTGTAGTTTTAAATGGCACATAAAACATAGGAGGCAGTCCACTGAATAACACTGTAGTTACACACTGGCACAAGAAAAATTGAACCTTGATGCTTTTTTTTTCCTTTCTTTCTTTCCCTTTTGTTTTTTTTATTATAGTAGCAGTAGTAAAACCTGCAAATTCATGGTCTTGAAAATCTATGTTGAAGATTGCTGAGCTGTACACAGATTTAGAGATCTTATTGAAGCCTGTTGAAATCTGTGTGAATTTGTCATTGATTTCAAGACAGCAAGAATTTCATGCCTAAATTCAACATCAATCAGCTGGTTAAATTTCTAATAAATGCAGCTTGCTGCATCATTGAAAGAAGAGTTAAAATCTTATAAAATTTGGCATATATGCAGATTAACGAAGAGTATGTTGTGAAAGAAAGGGTGGAAAAAGAATAATGAAAGGGATAGGTTTTATATTGCAGCATGTACTTCCCCTGATATACAAATCAAGTGCTGAAATGATACAAATATAGATGTTACAGGGTGATGCTAAATGTTTTGCACAATTATGGTACTATCATAGATAAAATTTTGTTACTAAGTGCTAGAATAATGGTTGTTAAATTCTGGATAATGGTAAATATTTTTAATAGCATTTTGTTTAGTCATGCATTTTGAATTTAAGAAGTACTGCTTTGTAATTGATACGTCTCTTAATTTAGTGATTGCACTTGGTGAAATCCATCATCACTATTTTAGCTATAAGGCAAACAGGTTTGGTAACAGACACTGACCTGTGGTCTGAATAAGTTTTAGATTAATTTTAACTGTGAAAATCAGACAGAAAATCAGTTAAAAGAAAACCAAATTAGGTCAATTTTTGTACTTCACAAACTCACAATAATGCATTAGCTTCCACATGAGTTTAATGTCACTGGTGGATTCTGTGCTCATGGTCCAGACTTACTAATGCTATACTCTTGCTAAGAGTATAGCATTCAAAACACTTTTTCCTTTGCATTTCAAGTGTTTCTAAAGAAATCTACTCTTATTGCTCTTTGTGTCACCTGTGCACCACTGTTGTCTGGAATTCCTCTGGTTGGAATATAATTTGATATATAGATGTCACTGTTGGAAAAGTATTTTTTAATGGTAGTGGACAATCTGGTTTTGGTTTTGCTTTTTTCTTAACAGTAAAGAACAGATTTTGCTCTTAACTTGCAAGGAGTAACTGCCCACTTTCTAAACAGCTTGTCCTCAGCAAGTCAGCAGTTTGAATTTATAATTTCTGAAATGTCAGTGTGGACCAAGAGTGCATTTTCATGCATTATACAGATTGTTTTGGAGCACTTCAATCTGTAAATTATGTTGCCTCTTTTTCCATGCAGCATAGTTAGTCAGTCTGAGGATTGTGCATATACACCTATGCATATAATGCACATGCTTCTAGATTCAACAAACCCATAATAAGTGTAGAAAATGAAACTGGTTGGAGCAGATAGAAATGTAAGTGCCTAATGTGTATTAATTGATACTGTAGCCGTGGTACTGCTTCTGACTGTAACTGTTAAACCACTGAACCAAGTCCTAAGAGACACAAATATTTTCAGAGAGCTATTCAATGCCTTTCCTGAAGGCCAGGCAGGAACGGTGTCAGAAGGGTTATTTGCCCTTCTAATCATACACAGACCACAAAATGGATGTTTGTGTCTCTGCTTATTATCAGCAACTTTTTAACATGATGATTTTGTTTAATGACATGTTTCATGCCAAGCTTCTTGGGAAATTTTTGCTCTGGTTTTGGTACGTGTGTTACTTCACTCTTAGAATTCTAAGTCAAAGAGAAGAGCTTCCCATTGGTTATTGTGAGCAATTATGTAGAAGAAGCATCAATGGTCTTTAGTCCAAAGTCTTTGATGCAGTGCTTACTGGAATCCCACTTCTGATGGGGAAGTGCAGGCCCCAGGCAGGCATGTCAGGATGCCCCTGCTGGTTCAGGAGCCGGCATTGCTTGTGCCCACTCCAGAATGTCTGCACACAAGGATTCGACAGCATCCAGTCGCTCGATTTGCACCAGTTTGGTGAGCAGTTCTGGGATGCTGTAGCCTGCTGTGCTGATGCGGTCAAACAGCTGCATGCCATCTGTCATGCCGCCAATCTCATCCCTCTTCAGCCCAAAGCTCTCGGCAAGGTGACGCCACGTTTTCACTATGGCTTTCTCTGTGTTGTAGGTCGAGCTGAGCATTCGGCTGGTCTTCTCCAGGCAGTCAAATGGCAGCTCCGTAGGGCTCAGGCCTGCAAAGGGAGGGGTGGATTGTCAGGTGGCTCTGGGTACAAGTCTTGGCATTTATTAAAGTACAATAGATTACACTGTTAGCAATGAATACAGCTGAAATCTTTAAGTGATAGTTCATGATATATGTCTAGGTCCAAAGGTACTACTGCATATTACCAAATGAATTCTTCATAATGACAGTAGGGTACCATAATTAGGGTAAAAAGTTGCCTGGAAAAGAAGTAATAGATGAGTTGTATGAATTCCCGTGGCTCTGCTGTTTCCTTCAACAATTTACTAGCTGTTAGAAAAAGTACAGTACAACTGTGTCCCTAGTGAGCAGCCCCATTAATATACCTCTGCACATCAGGCTCAGTGTTTGAGCTCCAGAGACAGCTTTCACCCTTCCCTGAGACTGTCACCAACAGCTGCTGAAACATATCTGTAATTGAAAGTTGCCCTTGTAGGAAAGTGAGAAGTGAGGTGAAGCAATGATGCTGCCAGATGCAAGCATAAAAGTCTCTGCAACTGCTTAACTGTCATTACTATTGAGAATCTCTAGGGAGGATTTAACACTCAGCCTGTGGGGAAAAGGCTGTTTTCTCCTGGACATATTTTCTATGTATTCATGTTCAGAAAACAGAGGAGAGAACCAGCTACGGCATTTTTCCCAAACCAGACTTTTGCTTCTGTAGTTTTCCTACTTCTTACTCATCAGCACTAATTTGATGGGAGACAGAGCTCCCTGAATTACAGAATACTCATACATGTGCACACAGAGTGTGTGTGTGTGTGTGTGTGTGTGTGATGGGAAGTGAATGCAGTCACATCTCCTGTTCTGCAGGGAACTTAATTCTTGTCTCCTGCTAAAACAGGTCAGGTGCTAAACAGGGTCAAAACACTTACAGCCTGGAAACTACACATTTTGTTCTGAGATGTGGGACAATTTAGAGAAGCAGAGTAGGTTGAGCCTTGTGTCTTACCCTCAATCCTGACCCTCCCCAAATCACACTTTCATATTTGGAACTATTTTTTATCTGTTAACTTAAGAAATAAGACCAACAGGTCTTATTTCAACAGGTTTCCTCTAGATGGGGGATACAAAACTGCTTCTCTGCATCTTGGTCTGTTTGTGTCCCAACACAGCCCACCACAGCTCCTGCTCTCCACAGGAATGAAGCTCATGCATGTGCCCAGAGAGAAGCCCTGGCCTGCTCCAGCCCAAGCCCAGCCTGGACAGTCCTGTGGTCAGGGCACCACAGGGTTCCTGGTAAGTGAATACAAATCTGCCTACAGAGTGTCTTCTCTGGTTTGGGACTATTTTCCCTAGAAAGGCCTTTCTTACTCTACAACAAATGCTTGTGATCTAATTTCATGCTTTTAACGTAAATGGAAATTGTACACTCACCTTCTGCAACATCACATACGTTAGCGTACACATCAAGTATCTTTTTCCTTCGACTTTGAATCTAAATGAGAAGAGTTTTATTAAATTAATTTTTCATTTACAAGATTAAACAATTAGAAGACAGCAGTGAAAAGTCTGTGAGGCATCTCCATTTCATGGGGTTATCACACAGTATGAAGCACAAACTATATGCAATGATTAATGTAGGGATGTCTAGGTGAACCAGATCAGGACTGGATACAGGGAATTAAATTCAGACTGAAATTGCCTTCTTCCAATAATCTAAGAGGACTGTAGAGGAGGGGATCTTCCTTTCTGTCTCTTGACATAGACCTGCTTAGTCCATTACTAATTACCTGAAATATTTTAGATTTAAAAAAAAAGAAGTCAGCAAAGTTTTGGAGAGGAAAAATCTGAGATCCAGTGGGATGTAGTAATTTTTGACAAGAAAGAAACAGGACTGAAAACCTGACATTTTTCAAGCTAAAAATGGACTCTTTTATATAGTTTCATTTAGCAAAATATTCTCAAGTTTTGGCTTTGGATTCAATGTGGAGTGAAAACAAATGTCAAAATGTCATGAGCTCTAAGGGACTGAAATTTTCTTCCCTGTGCCAGCTCTCATTAGGACTGAGCTTTCTGAAAAGCTGTCTTTTTGACAGGACTCTAGCATTATCTCCACAAATTCGTCACTTTTCACTGCAAACGAGGCTTGAATAAAAGCTCTGCTTTCAGTACTTTGTTTTGTGGAAAGATTTTCCTCATTTTATTTGGACTATGAAGGGCAAGGCACA